ACGTGGTACCTAAAAGGAGTTAAACAGGCACTTACACTCCCCGGGTGCTAAATTAAACACATACCAATACAAACACACCCAGGCAACAGATAGTCAACATGCAGGTAAACTAGGTATCATTAACAATACAAAGACTCTGGGCAAGTTATTACCTGACTTTGATGTCCTCTCGGCAGCAGTCACAGACACTGGGATAGGTCAATCACAGGGGCAGGAGCATACCGGCTAGGTGCTGCAGCAATCTCTACCGTGGACTCAGAGGTGATCAGGCTCTTTTCCTTCCCCCAGGATTCAGCCCCCCCAGCGTCTTCTTGGACAGCTGCCCAGGCAGGACATAGCCCAGAGCCCCACGTTGGAAGCGCCAATTTGTAGTAGATAATTTACTGCAAACCAATTAGTTTGAATGACTATCTGTTCCTGTCCAAATTAAAGATAATAAAGTTGCGTGCACGCAGAAGTAAATTCACACTGAGACACAGAGTTCAGGTTAATGAAAAAACTTCGGAGAAGTTTAATGGCTTCTGACAGAAAATGGGTGCGCAGACCCTTTTAAAGGCATTATTACATCACTGAAGAATTCAAGATAACAGCAAATAGACACTATTGATTGGTCCAGGTGTTAAGTGGTTAGTTAGATACCCTCCTATCAAGAGGTGATGTCATCCTTGACACGGGGGTGGACACAAGATGTAGGCGCCATCTTGTTAGCACGAGGTGTTCACTCGATGGGAGGGGTGCTTTGGCAGCCATCCATTTAGAGTGTAGCTGGCACGGTTAGGTTTCAAGGCTTTTAGTAAATACACATTTTATCAAAGCTATTTCTTGCTGGCATGCAAATTCTATGTTCTATAGACAGAGCTTTCTTGTAAAACTATGGGGGCCTCTTAGAGGTATAGCAAGAGGATTTAAAGGGGCCTTACAGATTTATAGAGGCCTAATAATTCTACAACAATAGGACCAATAGAGAACTATGGGCGTGTCTTCCCTACAGACTATCATCTAGATTTTGGTCAGTAGATGGCGCAATTACATCACCGAAACTTCTTGTCAGGGGTCCATTTACCTTTTTGTATAATGTGTTAACTGAATTTCGTAATGCTTTTGACATCATCTTGGTTATCTTTTATGGATAACCTATTCGTCAAAGACATGTCACCTCAAAGCATTTGGTTCACTTTTACGAGACAGAGCGTCTGCAATTTTGGCTATATGTTAGCTTCCTGACACGTCCTAACCTTAATTTCACCCTTCCTTACAATAGAACTTTGTAAGATTCCGTTAGTTCTTAGGAAGTAAAATTAATTACTTAGTGTTGTCTTTCATTGGTATCTGGTTCTCTTGTGTGAAACTGTGTAGCACATAGTAATGTGATTTATACATGTCTATTACACATATTCCACTAACGTTAGTAAATAATATGACATTTCTTCATTGATATTGTATCCATGAATATTCTATATTATTATTTTTTTTTCAATTTCACAATTTTTATTTTGTCACAACAAGAAAGTTACAGAAGGAAAAAATGGAGGTTATGGGGGTTCAGGTTTTACATAGATTGTACATAGATTTCATTGGGTCTGTTAGGTCTATACAGCAAGTTTTCTACTAATACATTCGAAACATGCATTGCAAGATGTACATTTCTCCCACCACATCCCTGATGTTTCGTCTTGAGCGGCCTCGCAGCCACTTTTTGTGGGGATTTGTGGCTAGTCTGTCTAGAGGATGAGGGGGGCAGGGGGAAGATTTTCGCTCCTCCCTCTTGGTAGCTGTTTTTGCCTGGGTTATATACATCACTCGCTGGGCTTTGAAGCTAAACCTGAGCTTGTGGGGCAAACGACCCTTAATGCGTCAAAGGAAAAGAAACAAAGTATAATTCAATTTAAACTTAAGAAGTTACAAATAAACTGCCCTGTATGGTATCTTGTGCCAGGCTCAGCTGTGTTCAGCTTTTCCTATGTGTTGCCAAAAACCTTGCCTTTGGGTGGGGGTGCTTTAGGATTACGACCACCTTTGCGCTTTTATGCTGTGTTGGCTGTTTTTTGGTTGACCTTGTTCGACCTCGGGAACACTGCTTAGGCTGTCAGCTCCTAATTTCCCCTGTGTGGGCCTTCTGGGTAACGGTTAACGTAGATATATCTGTCCCTCTACATATGCCATCCATCTCTTTTTTGCCTCCACAACCGTGTGGTTTGGTTTGAGGTATTTGCTAGCCATACTTTCATAATCCCAGTTTAGGGAGATTTGGTTTATTAGGGCTTGTTTAGTTGACGGATGGGGCTGTTTCCAGCCTCTGGCGATCAGTGTTATCGCTGCTATAAGCACTTGAAATATTAATTGTCTCTCTACTTTGTGCTATAGTGTGAGGTGCATAAAAAGAATACCCTGTTCTGGTGTCAATTTGACCTAACGTTTTGGCAATTACCTTCTCCACCATTTCCCAGTAGGTTAGAGTCGGGCATGTCCACAGTATATGATACATTGTCCCCTGGTTCCCGCATCCCCTCCAGCATTCTCTCTGAGCCCCCGGGTATAGCCTAGCTAGTTTGTCTGGGACCATGTACCATCTGTATAGAATTTTCCTCATTATCTCTAAGTGTGCGGTACATGTGGTGTGGTCTCTATGCGCCTGGAAAGCTTGTTTCCAATCTCGCTCTTCGATCATACTTCCTATGTCTGCTTGCCAGGCCTCTTGGAAGTCCGCATGATTGTCTACAGTTGGTGTCATCAAAAGTGCATAAAGTCTGGACATGATTTTCTTGGGTATGCTGTCTGATAGGCATAGCTTTTCTAGGGAGCTGATGTGAGGTGGTTCGGGGCCTGTGTCCATAGGGTGGGTGGATACAAAGGATTTTAAGTGGAGGTATGAGAAGATTTGTCTGGCGGATAAAGTGAATTTAGTTTGTAACACTGGGAATGGCAGTATTTTGCCCCCCTCGCACACATGCCGTAGGTGTGTACAGCCCCCTGTTATCCTAGGGGTATGGTCAAAGGTCGGAATGCCCACTGAGACACTTTTTAATGGCATATTCCCAATTTTTGGTCCGACCATGCCCAGTGAAGCCCTGACTGTCTCCCACGTCGGTGGCAGCATGTCTGAATATTTCGGGCGTAGTGAGTGCCGCAACCAGTAGAGGTGTTTTAGCCCCTGTTTGCAGTCTCACTGCAATTCTATGTTCTATGTACACCCATTGGGGGGTTCTTCTACTGAGTGGGATGCAGCTATGGCTGCTAGCAACATGATATGTTTTGACGTTGGGCAACCCCAGTCCTCCTTCTCTTATTGGTCGTTGTAGGAGTCTGGTGGCTACCCGTATTTTACGGTTTGCCCATATAAAGCGTACAAACACCCTCTGGATTGTGGCCAAGTAGGATCTAGTCAATCTAATGGGGATTGTGCGTAGGAGCTACTGAAGTTTGGGGAGTAGTGTCATTTTAGTTTCTGCCAGCTTGCCCACCCATGTCTGTAAGGTGTCTGTAAATGACTTGATAAGTTTAACGAAGTTTAGTTTGAACAGGTGAGGCAGGTGGGGGGTTATGAGGACACCCAGGAAGGTGATGTGGTTTCTCCTCCAGTTGAACGAAAATGTTTCGCTGAGGTGATTCAGGTGGTCCTGTCGGACCTGTATGCCCATAGCTTGGGATTTGGTGACGTTTAGTTTGTAATAGGAGTTAAGGCCGTAATCTTTGATGTTGCCCATAAGGCTTGGCAGTGAGATTTGGGGTTTGGTCAGTGTTAGTAGGACATCATACGCGAATAGATTTATTTTGAATTCCTTGTCTCCTATAACTACATGGACAATGGACCTGTTTTCCCTAATTAGCTCTGCAAGTGGTTCCAGAGCCAGTAGGTATAACAAGGGGGACAGCGGGCAGCCTTGCCGCGTCCCATTTGTTATGTTGAATGTGAAGCCCGCCATCACTATTTGTGCAGACGATTTGCAGTATAGGACCCCGACGGCCGAGCGGAAGGCAAGTGGCATCCCGAATTTGAGGAGAACTGCCTCTAGAAACTTCCAACTTAGACAATCAAAGGCCTTCTCTGCATCTAGCGAGAGTGTCACAAACTCTGTGTGGTGCCTGTGTACTCTGTGTATGATATCTAGAAATGAGATTGTGCGAAAATGTTGTGGATGGGTGGTTTACCAGGTTTAGGCAGTGTGATTATATGCGCCTTCAACACGTCTGGAGGCAATTGTTGCTTTAAAACGGCTTAATTGAAGGCGGTCGTGAGGTGAGGGGAGAGGGTTTGTTGGAAGTGTTTGTAGTAGCAATTGGCGAACCTGTCGGGACCTGGGGCCTTCTCTGCGGGCATGGAGGTGATAGCCTTCAGCACCTCGTTCTCCGTGATTGGGTCCGAGAGGCATGCCTGTTGAGCGGGGTTAAGTTTGGGCAGATCGACTTTATCCAGGAACGTGGCTATTTTAGATTCTTGAGGTTGGGGTACATTTGGATCGTTTCAGAGATTGTAGAGCGATTCGTAGTATTTAACGAATGTGTTACTAATGTCTAAGGGTGCTACTATCTTATTTCCGGCGGGAGATATCATGTACGCTATTTTTTGGGCGGCTTGTTGTGTTCTAAGTCTCTGTGCTAGCAATTTTCCTGCTTTATTGCCCTGTGTGTAGTTCTGTGTTCTGAGTTTTTTCAGGTGGAAGCCCACCTGGTCTAGAGACAGTTTGTGTATGTGTCTTGTTAAGTGTGTGATTTGCTCTCT